TGCGAAAACCCCCCCCCTCCCCCCCGCCTCTTTCCGGATGTGGAGGAGAGGCCTCTGCCCACACAGCAGCTGCGGCTTTCACAGAAAAAATATTGGCCCAGATAGAAATAGCAGAATAAAAGGGGAGGGGAATCTGCAAATGTGTGTGTGCGTGCGTGTGTGTAGGATGGTGGCCAGAGACAGGCAGAAACAGAGGGTTGAGGGGTTGAGGTTTCCTCAAGGAGCAGATCTCCTTCCTGAGTCTCCTGAAGTGCATTTTGTCCCTTGATGTGTCTCCCTGTGTCCTTCAGAGATACCACTGTGAGATACCTCTACAAAAGCCTCATTATGTTGAGGGGAAGCCCTTCTGCCTCTCTCCTTTCAGTAGGTCCAAGATGTTGCCCCAAGCACATACCGATTTCCTTGGCCAGAGCAAGGCCCTGAGGATATGTAATGGGGGATAGCTTCTTCTCTTTCAGCTTCTCAATGGTGTCCTTATCATCACGAAGATCCAACTTTGTGCCCACAAGGATGATGGGAGTGCTAGGGCAGTGGTGCCGCACCTCGGGGAACCACTAGCAAGGGAGCAAAATGGCAAAGATGTGAGAAGTCACACATATGGGCATGTGCAAAGGAAACAAAGAAGCATCCCTGAAAAAATGTCAGCAAGATAGCTAACACCCTGTCCTTCCTCACAGCCCTTCCATCCAGTGTTGGGCATTATAGCTTGGCACAGGCCAGCCATTGTTGCTGGGTCCTCAGGCAAAAATCCCTGACACAGAGCTCAAATTCTGTTAAGCAAAAACACAAGCTTCTCTCCACCCTTCATGGCTCCCTGAAACCCAAGGAGGAACCTGAAAGTGGCAGGAAGGAATTACTATGTTGTTCTCCTCTCTATCAATCTCTCCCTTCTTCCCTCACTTCCCATCTGAAGGCTGTGGGTACTTGCTTCTCATACCCTACGGAATGGTCCTGCATGTCTGTGCTGCAACAGTCTTGGCTGAAAGATGCCGTCAGAGTATAAGCCTGTGGTCTCACAGCTGAATAGCCCAGCAAGACGAATACTAGCCCTTTAATAGGGTTGGCCACCATTTTTGAGATGACCCAGAAAAGACATATGAAGGAGGCTGATATTTTAGTTCCTTCTGACTGACACAAAAAAGATATTACCTCTCTGAATCTAGGCATCTTATTAGCAGTCTCCACCCACAGTCACTCTCTTTGCAAGACTACCACCAATCTCACCCTCCTCAACCCCCAATGGACCAGGATATTCTGTCTCACCTTAGCACGGACGTTTTCATAAGATGCCGGGCTGACAAGGGAGAAGCAGATCAGAAAGACATCCTGTAGGCATACAACCATGGCACAAAGTTAGAATAAGAGCATGGGATTGCATGACAGGAGGCAGGGAGGAGAGAGAACAACTGGGTGGGCAGCATCCTCCCTCTGCAGCAAAGGGTCATGCTAGGGAAAGCTGTCACTGACAATGTAACACAGTCCTGACTGCTGCTAATTGCCTCTAGAGGAGAGAAGGGTATTTGCTCCCCTGTCTCATGGTAACCATAGTCACCATTATCAGAAAAGCCAAACGTTTAACTATGAGGATGGGGTTTTTGCGGTAGGCACACTCATCCTCATGGGAAATGGCCTGACAGCGTCCTGCTCATTTCTCACAGAATGCCAGCAAGCTTGCCTGCTCTTGAGACAGAGCTAGGGTCAGCCCAGAAAGTGCACACACAGGACACAAATGAGAGGGAGTTTTGGTTATCCACATAAGTGCTTCTCCCAGGCATGGCAGAGTTCGGACTTCCATTAAAAAGAAGACAAGAAAAAACAAACCCAGCTCTTCAGAGTTATATTTATTTCATCCAACTTCACCTAGCTAAAACAAGAGTGTCAGGCCCAGCCTATCCATTTCCATACTTCTACAACCATGAGAGGCAAAAACCTTGGAGAACAGTTCCTCTGCCATCCTTGGGATGTATCCCAGGGTGAATGCAAGCATGTTGTTGAGAAATACGCCTGCTTGCACTGGCTGCAGAAGGAGCCTAGGCAAACAGCTTATACCAGGTGTCCGACTTTTAGGTGGCTGAACCTAGCTGAAACAAATAGTGCCCCCAATCCTTAGGCCTTTTGATTGCAATGGCAACCTTCAGACCAACGCCTGAGGCAGCAGGATCTTTCTGAGCTTGCCAAGAGACTGCTTGGAACAACATCCTCCAGGGAAGGTGATCTTTAAACCCTGAAATCAGTCTGTCAGCATGGTGAAAAACTGGTGAACACATGATCTGAGACATCCATTTGTTCTGTCAGAGGCTTGGGCTTAGTTGAGGTATCAGCAGATCAAATACATGTGTCTATATATCAGATCTCTTTTAAAAGGCAGAAGCCAGAATAGTGGAGTTCACAGAAATATGAGAAGCTCCTGCCTCAGCTCCTAAATTCCCTGACCCACTTTAACTTCACAAAAGCAGGGATTTTTTTACCAGGGCTGTGTAAGGCATCTGCCCCACACTGAAATCAGTGTCACCTGGGCTCATAAGTATCTTCAGCTGGGCTTATAAGTATCTTTGAAGATCTCAGTCGTCTTGCTAAGTTAGACCAGTAATGAAGTTTAGATAAAGGCTCCAAAATACCCTTAAATGTCTTTTACCTTTAGTGTTTCAATGGACTTGTATATCAGCAGAGGTATTCTCAGAAAAGGGCAGAGAGAGTCAGGAACAGTCCTGTCACTCTTTTATGGCAAATGTTGATATTTGCAGTGGGGGATGGAGGAACAAGGGAGGAGGGGCATGGAGTGTGACCCACCGTCTGCGGGTAAGAGAGCGGCCTCAGCCTGTCATAATCCTCTTGTCCAGCAGTATCCCATAGCCCCAGATTTACAGGCTTGCTGTCAACCATCACGTTGGCAGAATAGTTATCGAACCTGAAATTCAGAAACATAGGCCATGGGTCAAACAGGAGAAGAGGGAGCCCTTCCAGTAGTGTAGGTGGGGTACACTAGGTGCACTCAGGAGCAAAGGGTAGTGATTCCTCTTCTCAGTTCACCTGGGTGATGCTGCTTTCCTGTGAACCTCTACCTTATGGACTTCCTATTCATCATCAACCTCCTCCCCAGCACCGAGCTGTCCTGGACAGGTGCCTGTCTGCAGCTTCAGCTTTGCCACCTTGCATGCAGATCCATAAATCCTTCAGTTTCCC